ATGAGTGGACTGTTAGATGGATAAGAAAGTGGTTGGACAGTTGCATCCAGAGAGTAGTGCTCAATAGCTCAGAGTCCCAATGGACATTCATGAAAAGTGGGGTCCCTCAGGGGTCCGTACTGGGACCAGTGTTGTACATGAAGGGAACAAGTGTACCCTCAGCAGGTTTGCAGATGACACACCTGAAGGACAGGGCCATCCAGAGGGACCTGGACAAGCTTGAGAAGTGGCCCATGAGAATCTCCTGAGGTTTAACAAGGACAGATGTTGGTGCTGCACCTGGGCTGGGTATCAGTCCCAGTACTGATCCAGACTAGGGCAGGAACAGATCGAGGGCAGCCCTGATGAGAACGATTTGGGGGTGCTGGTGGATGAGAGGCTGCACACGTCCAGCCGTGTGTGCTGGCACCCAGAAACCAACCATGTCCTGGGCTGCATCAAAGGAAGTGTGGGCAGCAGGTCAAGGGAGGGGATTCTGCCCCTCTAGTCCCCTCAGGTGGGGGTCCCACCTGCATCCAGTGCTGCATCCAGCTCTGGAGTCCTCAGTGCCAGACAGACATGAACCTGGTGGAGCCAGTCCAGAGGAGCCCACCAGGTAGTTCAGGGGGATGGAGCAACTCTCTTAGGAGGAAAGGCTGAGAGAATTGGGCTTGTTCAGCCTGGAAAATAGGAGGCTTAGGGGTGGCATAATTGCAGCCTTCCAGTTCCTAAGGGGTGCTTACAAGAAAGATGGACAGGAACTTTTTACAAGAGCATGTAGTGACAGGACAAAGAGGAATGGATTCAAACTGAGAGTAGGTTTAGATTAGGTACTTCTTTGCTGTAAGGGTGGTGAGGCACTGGAACAAGTCGCCCAGAGTAATTGTGGCTGCCCTTTGCTTGGAAGTGTTCAAGGCCAGGCTGGATAGAACTCTGAGCAACCCTGATGTAGCGAAAGGTCTCCCTGCCCATGGCAGGGGTTTGAAACTAGATGATCTTCAATATCCTTTCCAATTCAAACCATTCTATGATTCTATGAAGTTGCAGGAAAAATAACCTAGCAAAGATATGCTTAAGACTGTGTTTATTTTTCCTTGTCAATTTAACTTGTTTAATTGGTTATGTTCTAATTAGACAAGGTCAGATGCTCTTGGGAACACTAACTTTTCATTTTCTTTTGCAGAAGTTAGAAAACAATCCCTGATTGAAGACTCAACCATTTCTGTAAAAGAAATGGCAATCTCTAAGGGCTTTTTTAATGCAAAAAGCTTTCTTCAGGTTAACAAAAAAAAAAAAAAAATAGAAAGTCCTATTTTAGATGGTACATACTCTTCCATGGATCCATCTAAATTGGCCTATTCCTGGCTTGTATCAATGCAGCTTCATTTGCCACTGTCGTTTACATTGTCCATCATCAGGTTTTAGCATGGTACCAACTCAAAACTGCTGCACAAGGACCCTAAAAGACCACAGACCCAGATCTCAGTGAGGCAGACAAGGCTGAACTGAGAAGAAATGCTTGGATTTTGGCACTGAATATCTAATACCACTTTTTGTTGGCCTAAGATCAGAGAAAAAAGCTTGTTCAAAAACAATTCTGTGTGACAGCATGCTGAGATATCTCAGCCTTTAAAGGTCATGATCTAGCATTGGGAGCTGCCCTTAAATATAGCAGGGGTGACCATGGCTGGATATGAGATAACCATCAAAGCCATTTATCACCCCACCCTTCAGCTGGAGAAGGGGGAGAAAATACAATATACTCATGGGTCAAGATAAGGACAGGGAGATTGCTCAGCACCCACTGTCATAGTCAAAACAGATTTAACATGGGGACATCAATTGAATTTGTTGCTAATCAAATCAGAATAGGATGAAGAAAAGTAAAAACTAAACCTTGAAAACATCTTCCCCTGAGGCTCAAATTCACTCCCAAAAATTCTCTCTCTTCTTCCCCCGCAGTGACACAGCAAATGGGGACTGTGGTCAGTTCACATGTCATCTCTGCTGCTCCTTCCTGACTCAGAGGAAAGTCTCTCCTCACTCCTCCCCTGCTCCAGCAGAGGGTCACCTCCACAGGAAACAATGCTCAATAAACTTCTCCCATGAGTCCTTCCCACAAACTGGAGATCTTAATGAACTGTCTGTGTAGGTCCCTCCCACAAGATGCATTCATTCAGAAACAGACTGCTCCAGGGAAGGGCGTCCATGGGCTGGTGGTGGTTATTTTCTCCCCCATGGACTCAAGAGGCACAGCTGTGTCACCATGGTCTTCACCACAGCCTGCAAGGGAATATCTGCTTGAGACATTTCCTCCTCCTTCTTCTTTACCAGCCTTGGTGTCTCTAGTATTGATCCTCTGACATATTCTCACTCCTTCCCTCTGACTGCTGCCACACAGGGCTTTTTTCCCCACTTCTAAAATCTATTACCCCACCATCACTGATGGGCTCGGTCTTTGTCAGTGATGAGTCTGTCTTGGAGCTGGCAAACATCGGCTCCATTAGATACCAGGGAGGCCTCTGGCAGCTTGTTAGAGAAACCACTCCTGTAGCCCCCACTGCCAAAATGTTGCCCTACAAACCAAATATAACCTGAAACCACCTCCTCTGAAGAAGATGGCTATGAAAAAAAAGCAAGCTTTTAAGACAAACTTTAAAAGAGAGCAGTCAAACATATCCACATTGCTGGTGAAGAAACCCTGGTTTCTAACAGTCTCGGCAGATGGTGGCAGATTCCAGAGGAATCTTAAAAAGCACAGGCACAGGGCTGAGCTGAATCCACTGGCACTTGTAACCCAGCAGAAATAACCAAGTTGAAGCAAAGTACTAAAAATTTTAGTACAGATTAACAATCAATTAAATCTAGACCCCTTCACTGAAGGTTATGGAGCTTGCACAGGAATCTGCATCAACACACATCTGCTTTTGTCAGCATCAAGGTGAGAGTAAAGCTATATTTGCCCCATGTCTCGGTGCTGCATTTGATTTCCACCAGTCATGAAATAAACACAGCATTTCAAACATCTTCCCCAATCAGTGACATTATTTATAAAGAGGTGTTCTCATCTTAGCAATAAGGGTTGCTGGGGTTGAAGTTCAAACTCATGAGATACCTTGAGAAATGGGACATTACAAACAGACATGGACAGAGCAAGGGCAGAGCATTGTGAAGACCCTACCTGCCAGCTAGGAGGAACCTGAGCTCCAAACCCAAATGCAGGAAAACAGCTTGCTGCTGGTAAACAAAAATGAGAAACAACAAAAATGAGAAAGAGCAACTCTGTGATAAACTCACTCTTCAGTTTTATTCACCAAAAGTAGCTGAGAACAAGGCAGAATTCCTGCCACAAAAAATTGGTACATCATCTAGCTGCCCATGGCCTAGCAGCAGGTATCCAATGGTTTCAGGCTTAGGCTTAAGAGTTAATTTCTCTCAGTGCAGCACCCCACAGGACTCTCGGGAGATTTCAAAGAAGCAAGAGAAAAGCCAGACCAATCCCAGCCTGGCCACAGGACAAAGCAGATAAACATGTCTACTCCCATTGCTGCCAATGTCCATTCCCATTGAACCAAATAGGACATTCATGTTTGCAATGCATCATCTGCAACAAGGGATCAGCGCCCAGCTGAAGCATCAAGGGACTCAGAAGGGACAAGCCAAGCACATATGCCAAATTATGAAGGGCTGCCATTGCCTTCCCTAGCACTGACAGAAGCAAGAGTAAACAGTAGCAGCTCCTAAAGGGATCTCCCAAGGAAAAGTAGCCCCTCAATCATTAATACAGTGCAGGGCTAGAACAAGCTGTTCTAGTCACATTTTTGACATGGTGACTAGATCAGTCAAGATCATTACATATGTGTCATAAATCCTGGACTACACTTCCCACACTCCAAATGGCAATCAGGTACTCAATTATCCCATCTGGATGATGTAGTGAAGAGCATCTGATGACATGGGATCTTCATTGGAGGCAGTGAAGTCTACACCCACCTGAGCAGGCAACATGATGGCAGCAAGTCACTGGTATGTCAGCACAAACAAATTAGAAGAACAAACTATATCCAGAAACAGGGGGTTAGCTCAGGCTCACGCAGTTCCTTTCCTCCCAGGCACACAGCAGCCCTACACAGGGACATGCACACAAGTCTGCACCCCTTTTGCCACTTAGGTACAGGTATTTTTAAGCCATAGCAATCCTTTCTACTGACAAACTGAACCAATTGCTTGAAAGAACTTTAAGAAGCCCTAGCTCCATTAAAGTGCTACTTCATCACAAAAAGCAAAAATACAGTATCCTTTAGTGTTTTGCAGACTTCATCACTGCAAATTCATACTGCATTTGCAGTCACTCATGCTGCCAATAAAAGTACTGAACACAACCTCACTGCTTTTGTCCTGTCATCTACCAATACAAGCACTGAGTAACAACTCACCATAAAGTTAATATGGCAGCCTCCCACCACATCCAGAAGTCCAGAAATTAATAACCTGTCTCAATCTAGAGGAACAGAAAGACATTGTAACATGTACTCATTTCACTAAGATCAGAAAATAAAAAAGCAAAAAATCCCAACGAAAATTGTCTTACCTTGCAGGATTTTATGGCTTAAAACAATAATGCCAGAGTTTTTGTAGTTTTTTTATTTTGTTTTTTCTCAGGATGAATGCATCCTACAGAAAGCAAGCACAGAAGCAAATTCCAAAACGCGCCTTTATAGGAGAGCAAATTATTGAAAAAGACAGTGTCAGACATCCCACAATTTCAGAGTTACCAAAATACCCAGCAGAATTAAGAAATTTATTTTTGAAAGGTCTGCAACTACTTTGGCTGCGATCTGACAAACTAAACAGGGTGCTTTTGCCACCAGCACTGGGCAGAGGAAGCAAAAATCTCAGAGTGGGGAGGCTAAAAAAGCCTAGGCCATAGGTTTCCAGTGCTTCCCTGCTTGGATCCATTTGCATTGGTTCTGAATTCACAAGGGACAGAAAAAAGGCAAGAACCTTCCACCCACTTTTGTACTATGCCTAATCAAGCTGGCTGGCAGCCGGAGTAGTCCTGGGCTACGCCCTGTGTGCAAATAGAGCTGCCTCAATTCAGGTGAATCTCAACCTCCAGGAGAATGAGATATCAGGTTTTCACTGCGAACAAACCAAAACCAGCACCACCAGCATGTGACTCAACTTACTCTAGACTGGATGACCAAGACAAGTGCCCCTTGGAAGGACTGCTGTTAGCTGGCAAGGTGACTAGAATGCTCAGGAGGGTGACCAGCTCCAGCACACACATTATATGAGACAAGCTGTGCTTCTGGACTCATCTGTTACAGCACCAACAAGCAATTCTATTTTCACTTGACTCAGTAGAGGCCAAAGCAAGCTGAACAGCTGGGACAAGTAGCTCAGCGGACAACAGGCTCAAGGATATTTTTAGAAATAGGAATGGTAACAGAACCCAAAGAAAACAAAGAAATCTAATTCCCACACCAGTTTTTGTTCTTTTTAAATGTTGGCTTAGTAATACAAAAATACACGTTATTTGGAGGCAACAACTAAACGTGCATGTCTGAGCTCAATATTAGAAAGGGATTGAAAGCCTGAAATCTGGAATAAATTAGCAGGGGCTGAGGAAGCTCACCAGGGAGCCAGTACCTGGTTTGCACAAGTCTGCACAAGTGCCAGGGTAGTTTCCAAAGTGTCTATCAAGTCATGTCAGCCATCACTGTCATGATCTGCACACTGCACCTGAAAGGAGGAGGAAGCAGGCAATGGGCAGGCATCCTGCATTAGGGAGACTGGTCACGGCTCACTGCCCCATCTCTTGTCTGACAGCTCTGCATCAATGCTGAACTCCTCCATGCCATCAGGACTGGGGATGTTGGCCACATCACTATGAAACCCAGGAGCCACACAGCCAGAGTGAATCTCAAGAGAGGAACATGTTCACTTCCTCACTCATTTAAGTATGCAGGTGTAAGCTTAAAAAAAAAAAAATCTTCCCCTGATTTAAATGTAAGAGGTTAAATAAATAAATAAAAATTTAAAAGAAACATTAAAACTCCCCAACATTTCATAATCCAAATGTGTCAATGTGAGGTCATTCAGGACAAGATATGCAACTGGGGTAATGGGAACAAGCAAATTAAAACTTTAAATCTAAGCCATGCTCTTTTTTTCTGTCCAACAATAGTACCAATTTACAAGGAAATTCTAATTTCCATGGAAGAGTAAGACTGTCTCTTTCTGCATCTTATACCAACCAAATTATAAATACTTTATTAATAAACAGTAATTTTTATGTCAGAATGAAGGCTACAGAACTAGATAATGCAAAATAGCAATGCATTTACAAATAAAAATATAGTAATAATTGGTTTACAGCAACATGGTGTCATAGTTCTCCACAAAATCACCAATAAGGAGCATTTCTAACATGTTCAACTGCAGAACACAAGTAATTCCAGAAGCAGTCAACTAAGGGACAGTTGTAAGCAGCTGTCTCCTCCTCCTCTGAAGCTCACATGCCACACAGATTCAGGAACTCTCTGAGATCTCTCTTTAGAAATCAAGAAGTTGATGTTACTCCAGTATAAACCACAGTGACAGCTTTCTCCTAAGGACAATGGGACAAGATGAACCCATGGGTAGCACCCGGATAAGGATGTCAAATTCAATGGCTAGATATCTGAATTTGACACAGAGTTCTTTAAAGGACTATTCAGATCTGCTGGGGGTCTTCCACTAGTATCAGTGGAAAACCCATACATACAGTCAGGTGAATTACGGCTTAATCTAGACACCTAAATGGGAAGCACCATGGCATCCTTCAGTGTCTTAATGGCAAAAGATACCTCAGAGACTGTTCCCCCTTCTCCCCAATCCTTCCCACCTCACTTCTGCTCTTCTCATCTAGACACTCCACCATGAAGCAATTCCCACCCCTCCTGCCTGAACTTTACTCGGCTTCTCTCAACAATTCTGATGTTTGCACATCACCCAAAAGTGACTGGATCATGCCAGAAAGGCCTTCTCTTGTGCAGAAGCCTGGGTGCAGACTCCCAGTGAAGGGTCTCCTTTATGCCAGTACACCTGGAGAACTTCAGGGAATCCAGCTGTTGCCATCTCCACACACCTTGTCTCCCCTCCTTCCTGCTCCCAACTCCCCTCATACCCATGCCAAGGACCAGTTCAGTTATTGGTTCACAACATGGTATGGCTTAAAACAAACCTCTCTTTATAAGGGTTTTTTTCTAAGACAGGCCAAGATTCACTGCAGGCAGCCCAAAGAGTGGTGCTGCTGCAAACAAAACCATCCAATACTGCAGGACACTGTATAGATTATTTATTATTTCTTTGCAAATGAACTCTCCAGTACTCATTACAAGCCATGAAATACAGTCAGCAAGGAAAAGGCCCCTTTCGTCTACAGGAGAAACTTCCAAAATCCATAGAAAATTATTTTGCTTTTGTGTATATGCCATGAAACCTGTGAATACCAACACCTACAAATTTCTATTTTGCTGCTTCTATTTGCTACATTTGCTGTTTCCATTTAAGTAACTACGGAGCTGAGCCGCTGCTTTCACTTATTTTTCATAAAACTGTCACAAAGATTAGCCTGTGTCACAAATATGAGCGGTTCCTAACATAGAACAAGGAAAACATCACTCTGAATCACAATGAAGAAAGAATTGCCATAATACTAGGTAGCATTTGATCAAAAGATTTATGTTCACACACATATTAAGCATGTAATCCTCATACAGAGCTGGCAAAGTTGTTTAGAAGATACACCAAAATGGCTCCTAGGTAAATTTTTGGAAGCCTCAAATAATAGGTTTCAAGGGACAAATTCCAAATTAAAACTAAAACAGTAGTGCAATATTAACAGTGTTGTTAGTGAAACTCCTGAGTGTCAGTCTAGACTCCTCTGATGAACTTCCCCAGCATGTTACGGGTATCATCTGCCCATGCATCAAGAATTTTGGCTTAAATGAACTAACAGAAAAAAGCTATCCTTTTGAACTAGTTCATTCTGAAGCAGATTCCAAAGCACAGAAAGCTTCTAAAAATCAAACCAAACAAAATAATAAAACAAATATTTTTGGGCTATAGCAAATATAGCCCCACAAAACATCATGTGTAAACCATGTCATGTCAGTTCTAACAAATGACAATATACACCTCTTAGTCACCTCCTCTATATGCTTGCTGCACACTTTTGAATGAAGATTACTTCCTTCTGACCCAAGACTGTTGATTCCCCACCAGTAAGAGCTCACAAACACCACTTAGAACACTGCCAGCTATCAACAAGCCCAGCACACCTGTTGGAGGTTTGGATTTTTCCTTTTTCTTCTTTCTCTCAAGGAATTTTTCTCCCATTTGTTGCCTAAGAGAGACAAAAGATGTGGCCAAGATGGGGAGGAAGGGGCAGGGGGTGTAGCTGGCTGCAGTCTTTTAGCTGGGGAGTGAGCTTGGTAGCTGGAGGGGATTTTCTCTCGCGAAGTATAGAGATACCAAGACTTAGCTGGGGGCCAGGGCCTGGGCTCAGCCCTCTCTCGTACTCTCACTCTTGGGATCAGAGGTCATGGTTGTGGTTTTGGTGCTGGACTGGCTGTGGTTTGGTGCTTGACTGCTGCTGCCCAAAGGTTTCACCACTGCGGAGTTTTACCCTTCACTGCTTCTCCTTACCCTGGGTGAGCCTCTGCTCGTAAGAGCAGCCATTGAATTGGGACCTTTTCAACAACCGACCTCACTGGGACAGACCTCCCAGCTGCTTGTGGGATCCTGGCTGCCACTGCGGTACCCCCATTGCTTCTGCCACAGCTTCAGGCTTTTTGCTACACTTTGTTTGTCACAGGGAGTTACACAGGGGTCTGCTCACCTCTGCTGTTCCAGCCTGCTGTTCTGAGGTTCCTGCTACAGTCCAGCTTGCCACCCAGAGTGGCAGACACCTGCAGGGACTGGCTGCTTCCTGTGAGTTTGCAAAGGAAGCCCCTTCTCCATCCCTTCCGCCAGCCCGCCGCCATTGCCGTGCGCAGAGAGGCGGCCGAGCTGCGCCACAGCGCCCCCTGCAGCCGCGGGGGAATCATCGCCCCGCCCTGCCCGGCCGGCAGCCAGCGGCGCCCCTGCTGGCTGTGCCCGGAACTGCGCCGCAGGGGAAGGGGCTGAGCCGGGAGAAGGCTGGCGCCGGGTCTCTGCCTCTGCTCGCTGTCGCTGCCGGGCTTGGTGTTTGTTTGCCTGGCTATGCACACACACGCTAGGAACGAACTGCTATTCCTTTGCCCGTATCTTTGCCTGAAAGCCCTGTGATTTCAAAGTTACAATAATTTGGAGGGAAGTGGGTCATATTTTCCATCCCAGGATGGTTCCCACCTTCCTTGGCAGACACTTGTCTTGTAAGCCAAGACAACACCTGAACACCTATTTCCAGGTTAATAATCTCAATAATTATTAGGAACTACCATACCGCACAAAGAATAACATTAGCACGCATGCATTTTGCTAAATCTTCCAAATCAAACTTTCAGCATGAGATTTCTTCAGAGGATGAAGAAGTAAAATTCTGCAAATGTGAAGCATTTAGGTGTTAGAAAAGTAGATAGAAATTAATACTCATGCAGAACAATCTATGGATTAAAATGCCTTTAAATTATCAATGTATTGCTTAGAAGAAAAATTAACATGTTAAGTTGCTATCAGATTTTCTTTTGTAGAAACACATTAAAAGATGTAGTTGTTCTGCTACACCTCCACAAGCCAGGGCCACAGAGAATTAGTTATAATATACAGGGAAATGCAGTTCTGACTCAAAACTAAATTTCTATTTGAAACAAATAGAAAAAAAGTTGGGAAAACCTTCCAGTCTCTTGAGTGGATAAATCTGACAAGATACCTCAAAGTCCTCTCTGTGTTAGTATCCCAAGGCACTTAAGTTTGTCTGACATCTGCAAGTTTCTCAGTTAACTTCGAAACAGTGCTAGAAAGCCACAATGAAAAAAACCCAAACCAACCAACCACCCAATCAAAGAAGACATCACCACCAAAGCTCAACTTGAAACCCTGGCCAGAATACTGAAAAAAACAGTTACAATTCTCCTTATGCCTAACCACTGGAAATTGTGTCACTTCTGCATTTGCTGACTTCTCAATCTGACAACTCGTAATATTTTAAGACAGACATATAATCACTTATCTGCCGCACTACAATTCTAGAAGGGCAATCTAATAACTTAAATATGACTAGACAACCTGATAACTCATAGTTAGCATCAACAGAAAATGGATGACTTGGAACAACAAAGAGAATTTCTAAAGGCTGTACCTTGACAGGTTTATTAAAATCTCTACCACAGAAAGTCTGCAAGGAAACAACTGAACTTCCTCCAGCATGGATTTAAATTGTTCTTGATGACCTTAAAAACATGACAGCATAATGTCACATGAGGAATACAGCATGCAACTCACTAGGAATGATGACAAGGGGGCTCTTCATGGCAAGCTAAGAACCTCAAGTTAAGCCTCAACCAGTTCAACCCTGGCACCTATCAATGGCCAAGCAACAGCTCTGCAAGAAATAAAAGCTTGATGCTCTCAGTGAAGTTAAATTTTACAGCCAAGCTCAACACCATTGAGAAGAAAGAGAGACCCTCTTCTCACTTGCTGCCTGTGATCAGACTCCTTACTCAGGTAGCTCCATCCAGTCACCAGGCAGCAAATAAACAATTTGCTGCAGCCATAGTGAGCAGAATACCTTTTTATAGGATACTTTCTCTGAAAAACTGGTGCAAAGCATGAGTAGGAGTGGGACTCTCACTTTGAGTAAGAATAAGCTGTCTGACCAACTCAAGGAAAACATTGTGCGGAAATTCTACCTTGTTGCAGAATTTCTGAGAGAGAGAGGGCATGATTTATGTCTGTTATGAGATTTGAGCTACTCCAGCCTAGGCCTCAGATATGGGCCTTGTGAGGCCCTGAAAGCCTTTTGCGTAGTAAGAAATTAGTTGTAGCGCACTTAGAAATTATGTTAAGGTAACCACAAAGTAATGAGCTATCTGAGTGTGAATTAGGATAGAGCTGCAGTGTGAAAAGCCTGACCACCTTAAGGCAAAGGTAAACAATGTTAGCTTGCCAATGAGAGTGCCTTTGTAAATTGTAAACATATAGTTATATACACAGGAAGTGTATATAAACTGCCATCTTCTCACTAATAAATGGAGAACGTAGCTTTAACCACATTAGCTCGATCTGCGTTTGTCCAGTCCAGCTCCCCTCATATTATAAGAAGTTCCTGCTTCTCTACCTCTGATCTGTACACAAGCTGCCATGCTCCAGCATCGCTCTGCTTGTCAAACTCCAGAACTGGATCAAATTTACCTAAGAAATCCTTCACACAAAACCCAAGAAGTAATCAGCCTCCTTTATATTTCACCAAAATAAGTAAAGAAATAATTAAATAGTAGACAATACTTCAAAAAAGAACAAAGTCAAAAAAACTATGCATTAGTTTTCTTTCCTCACTTTTATTTTCCGTTTTAAAACTGCTGCACTCTGTAAGTGATCAGCATGTATCAGCTCCAATTCCGAGATCTCCTCAAACAACTTTTGTCCCTATAAATCACATCATTTTGCTAACTTAGAGTTAGGTGACTAAATCACTGTATTGGTCTGGTCAGAACACCTAAGTTTCCACCTTTTCTTCTTTAACAAAAATATAGAAGTATCAGTTCACTTGAGACAATTATATAAGTGATTTGTATTCATATACAGACTATTCCAAAGCCAAAATAATACCTTAAAACCTAAACCTGGCAGTTGAGTTTCTAGTTTGACATTGTGGACTTCAACATGAAATTGTATCTCCAACTTATTCCACTGTAAAAAACACAAAACACAGCAAAGCCTTTGCTCACAAACAGATTACCAGCTTAGCTGAATGTCTGCAAACACAGAGATTCCTGGCCAAAGGTACAAAATGTAACTACTAGAAAAGCATGCAAGATATTTTTTTTTTTAAATCATTACCTTTTTGTCCAAGTTTTGGGCTTCAATTTGCAGGTATACAACCCTGGTACCTAATGAAATCTCTGAAATTTAGGGGGGAAAAATGTAAAAAAGAAGTCACAGAGTTTTGCTATATTTTGTCCATGAACTGTAGTTTCTTTTAAATAACTCTCTCCTCTATAAATATAGCGTTTGAAGATATACTGAGAAGAAACCAGAAAAGCCACTTTATCCCAGACAACATATTGAAAGAGTTTTTTTCAAACAAAAACCTTACCTACCGTAATAGTGCCCTTTCCTGTTGGCTTTCCCTGCTTCAATTCCAGCAGTCAGGTGAACGCTGAGCTGGACACAACCTCAGATTAGAAGACAGATAATAAAATTATCATTAAAGAAAGAATTACTCTTCAGGTGCAAAGTCTTCAACCTCTCATAAAAGTTCTAAAACTATTTAAATGTATTTCCAACAGTGACAGCCATTAGTTTGTGTTCCTGAACAGCCTGAAAATCATCTTCTCTCACTATCCAGGAAACAGTGCCCACAAACATGTGTCCAAATTTGACTTTAGCTTCCTGCTTTTGCTACCTCTTAGACACAAGAAGCATTGCCATCACAAGCAGCCAAAAAGCTACTAAATCTTAAAATACTAGTTAATTTATCAAGTCTTTCTTTAATAATATGAATCCCACTTTTCTCCTCCTACAAAGCTATACAAACCCCTTCTCAGGAAATGAACACAGAATCTCAAGTAGCCTTATTTTCCCCCGATTTACTACCTGATGGTCACTTTGTGCAAAGAAAATTCCATGAGAGACCTCCAGGCACCATGCTTCCTTACTCCTAGACTGCCTTTAGTGCTACAAGTGCCTCCTAAGTTAACCAATTAATTACAAAATACATGTATTTCTAACCTTTGCTTTGTGATCAAAATAATTATTTTTCTAACAACATTCAACGGTAACACAAACAAACATGTTTAACAGTGTTTTCAAATTTGAATATTGTTGAAGCCTTTGACAAAGCAGATTTTCACATAATTTTTCATAATAAAGCCAACTCTCGCTGCTATTTTGTACATCACTTAACATGTCTACACGTACCTGTCCCAGTGTGCACTCAATCCCTCCCAGGTAGTAATCATCATTTAAATCAAAGGACTTGCTATCAATATCATACACGCTGAATTTCAGTTTCCACACTTTCTCAAAGTAGTAGTCCACAACCAGCTTCTTTCTTTCACAACCAGCAGAATTCAGGGTCTTGGCAGTTCTTGAACTTTTCTGTGCGATCTAGCTGCACAAACACGGGAGCAAAGCTGTTGACAATGAGTAAGAAGCCCATATTCTCCCACACAACTTTTTACCTGCACCAGATGGACACGGGCACCAGCAAGGCTACATACCCTGGACCATGCCTCGTGCTCAGTGACAAACTGGGCTGACCGATGGTTCACCAAGAAAGGAAATGGCATTGAAAAACACTATTGTATGGGAAAATTCTGAAAACTAGGGGGGAAAGACTGCTGAAACAATGTATTCTGGAGTGCGTGGTTTAGGGCAAGTCATATCGTTACAGGCAAATGAGCTTCCGGATGCAACTATGAGCAAACAAGTCAGCAGTTAAAGAAAACACTGAAGGTTTGAGTGTGGGTAATGGGACTGCTCACCAACCGTAAATCTGAATTAAGTATGTCATACACCTGCCAGGAAGACCTACGGGATGGAAAAGGGGAGACTCAGCATGTTTACAGCCATCGGCAGCGCGCGGCCACAGGCCGCTCTTACCTCAGCCTAGCGGCCATCGCCCGCGTCCCGCAGCAGGACGCAGAGGGGGTCCGACCTGGAGCTCAAGTTCCCGTGGAGGAGGCTCCGGCAGGCCACAGACAGCTCCATCCGGGATACGCAGGCGGCCATCTGCGGGCAGAGCACACCGTCAGACGGCCCGGCCCGGACCCCGCGTGCCCCCGGCGCGGCGGAGCGGAGGCACGCGCGGGCGGGGCGGGGCCACGCCACGGCCCCCGGCGCTCCGCGGCACCGCCCGCCCCGGGCCAGGCGGGCGCGGAGGAGCGCGGTACCTCCGCGCAGCCGGGCACCGACTGCGGCCCGCCTCGCCCCTCGGCTCTTGAATTCACCTAATTCTACCAGGCTATCCCCGCTGCTCCGGCTCCCCTCGCAGGAGCCCTTCCCTCTGCCTCGGTGCGCGCTGCTGCCTCAGGTTTCTACAAAGGGGCCGGGCGTGTTGTCCCCGCCCCGGGACCGTCGCTCACAGCCCTGCACAGGGACCGGGACCTCCGTCCCGCCAGCGCCGCAGCCGCAGCCGCCGCCCCGCGCCAAAGAGTGGCCCCACGCGGTGAAAGCACTGCCAAAGCACCCCCTGCTCACCCACGGGAGCCACGGAGACCTCGTGCTTTTGCCGTGCTGGCTTCCAAAACGCCATAACATCATCCCGCAAACAGGGGATAACTAAATTTTATTAGACATTAAACTGCAAACATTCTGTTTGAGGAACAGCTATAATTCTCAAAACTGAATTAGAAGATAAACCTTCAAGCACCAAAATATTACAGAGACTGGACAGTTGATGACTAGAGTTTGAAATGGGATTATTTAATAGAGAAGCTTCTTCTTCTGAGTCTGGAAAATAAGGAAATACTTGCTTTGGCTTTTTAGTGCCCAAGTACCCCATGGCTTCCTCATACTTGCAGGGTGAATATATTTAACTCAAAGAGATCAGCTTTTATTGTACAATATTTAATCCCTTGGGCATCCCAGTCAGCAATTTATCCTGGACAAATGTTAACAAAGTCACTTAGTACACCAGTGTGTGGCAATCAGGTGCTCCAGTGATGGTGGCAGGAAAAACCAGTACTCAGTGAAAATTAGCAAAGCTTTAGGCAAAGGCAATCATTGTGCAGCTTTCAGTCAAAGTCATCATCATCACTTGGTTTAACACCAGCATATTTTAAAAAACTTGTTTGAAGAACTCTAGTGGTCAGCTGTTAAAACTACTGGCAGAAGCCATCAATTCAACCCCAAGTAAGATTCACAAAGAAACCACTGACTTTAATAAATACATTTCTTGTATTCCAAGTCACAGCTATCAAGTTTTTTCTTTACTGACACATATCATTCCACCAGACCAGCTTTCATCTCACATAGACTCACATAGGCGCAGACAACGGCAAAACTTTGTTTGACACTCACTATTTGACAACAAGACTAGGACATCCAGTCTGAGATCCTTTGCCAATATTTTGCCTCTGTTTTTCTCTACTGCAACAGAGAGTTCTGTACTAACAGGAGGCACCTTTCCTCCCCACTAGAGCTCAAAGCATCAGGAGTAAGTTAACCTCAAAGAAACAGCTCCCCATAAGCTTTTAGCATCCCCAGTCAGCAATGGCTCCTTTCTGGGAGGAAACCACTACTGCAGATCTTAAGCTGCATACAGAATAAGCCCATATATAGATTTATTCCATGTCACAAAGACACCAAAAAGGAAGAGTTTGAGATAGCAATTATTATATCACACAATGAAGCCAGGAGGTGAAGGGACACAAGTCCTCAAACCCAATCACCTCTTATCTGCTACCTGAATCTCTTCTCCAGATCAGCAGCAATGAAATTATGAAAATACTCCACTGTTTCAAAGATTTGACTTCCAGTACCCTAATACCCAGAAGGCTGTCTCATTGTTTTAAATTTAGTAACAGCACAGGATTTCCCTTGAAATAAAGCTCAGCTGTTCTGTTGAACCACTGGGGACATTTACAAACTACAAGGGATCCTTTCCCACTATATCCTCTTGCTCCATCAGGAGATCACAGGACACTCACTGATGCACATAATCAAGACACAACAGAGCACCAGCAGGCCAGCTGTTTGGAGTAGCTGAGCAGGAACTGTCCTAACTGGCTGTACACCCTTCCTCACCAACTAAGGACATAACAAAAAAGCAGGTTTAACAACTACAGAATGAATCCTTATGAAAGAAGGGAGAGCTCCTTAACAGATTCAGATTAAATAAAAATAATAATAACCTGAAAACACAAGTTTGAACCTCAGCCAGCAATTATTTATAGATTACTGCCTATGAATGTCCTCAAAGAGCCCATACAACCTTCTTTTCACCTCATGGCTACCCAAAGACTGTACAAACTGTGCAAACTGTATGGTGTTCTCCAGTATCAGTCGATTCTTTGAACAGCAGCAGAAGAAAATCCTGGCCATAGACACCCCTGCAGCAAGAGGAACGGTCTGCTAAGACACAGCATCTATTTTTCAGCCAAGCCTGAAGACCTGCTTAGTCCACAGGTAAGCAACTTTGCCTAGTTACCCTGTTCATGCAGTTAACTGAGCAGCATAAATCTCTGGAAATCTGCCTGCATTGTAATCGCTTAGAAAGATCAAAAGTTTAACATATTTTCATCCCCAAAGAGACACACATATATATAAAAGAAACCTGAATGGGAAGAAAAAATAGTGAAGTTCTTCACCAATTAGAAAAACTAGATCCAACTTCATTTTTTTAACAGGATTTCATCATGATAATATTGGCTCAAATATTTTCTTATCCTCCATAAAGTAAGATTTCTAGAATTTACTTTCATTTCTCATAGTAAACTATAGTGATTGCATCTCTCTATAAAAAAGTGAAAAGTTTATGTGAAATGTATCAGCTGACTTTCATCTCCACTTCTTTCCACAGTCTCAGTTATTTTCCTACAAGAGAAGTGACAATTCCAAAAGTTTTCAAAATGCCAGCAATTAGTGCTTGGACTTAGAACCACGCCACACCTACCACAACTCCCCACCCTGTTTCTCTTCAAGCCAGAGCCTGTGATGCTTCCTCTGATTTGCTCTTCCACACAATGCTGCAACATCATTTTGGCATTTCACTACTCCAAGCTGCCCAGCTGGCACATGCCAGCTCTCTGCAAGGGACAGGTACTGTGGCATCACTCAGTGCTGACACTGTTGGAGCAGTAACACTTCACCACTTACCGGAGCTGTGCAATAGCCACATGATCAGAGAACGATCTTCTAGTGGTTACTAAGCTCAAACAGTGTACAAAGGCTCTGATCTCAGGCTAAGCATACAGTTTGCTGCAATTACACTGAAAGAACTTGGGGTTTTATTATGTTTATTAACAGTCTTCCTTTTTTTCCTCAGCATGAATTCAAGAGCACCAATTGTATTCTGTTTGCAGACTGGAATCAGCATTTCAAAACCACACAAACTTAGTTTTTAGACTTGCAACAGTATTTATAATGACAGAATATTATTTATATTTGTTGCAACACATTTTTTTCCAACAGTTTCAGAAATTCTAAAATGCACTGTTTTCCTATTTTCCCCCTCACAACCATCCTTGGTAATTAGTACTGATGCTTACTACTTGAACCTTCTGGTTTACAGAAGACAGTAACTATTTCCAAAGCAAAACCAGCTGCTAGAGCAAACTACTTTCCACAATGTTATCACAATGCTATTTAATTTATAAAGAATTTATTATACATTGATCCTGATCAGTTTGCAATAATAACAGTTTAACAACCACCACCTGTTATTAGTAAATTAAAGTACAACATGGTCTGGAAGTCTCAAAACTATTCTAGCCACAGAAATCCAGATTACCAAGTGAAAATGAACTCCAAAAGCAGTAATAAATTCAAACTCTCTCCAAAATACAGAAAGCAGACCTATTGGGTACATCCCATCATTGTGGTTTCAAACAAAAAGGCAACAAGCAAGCCACCAGGTAAGTGCTGTTGCTTGAAAGAGCTTATAAAATACAGCTGAGGTTGTGCTACACCCCCATGATCAATTATTATATGGACAATAGCCACAAACATCTGATCCACTGCTCCCACAGCCTGGGGATCTATCTGATGAGAGGCATCACCTGTGAAGTTTCATCTTGAGGCAAATCATTCCTTCAAGGGAAGAATTTCCAACATACAGCTTCAGATCCATCAGGTACCTCTATTTTTTGCTCTTATTTAGAATTGCATGCTATAACACCACATTTTGAAGAAAAAAAATACATCACCCATGTTATCCCTACCAAAATACTATCCATAGAAATCTGCAAGATCTCAAGCACATACTCCAGAGAAGTCTTTTACTGCTCAACCAGGTATCATTCCCAGTTGTTTAAGTAAAACACAGATTGGCTCCATACTAGGTACACTTTAAGAAATGCTCAGACAACCAAAATGAAGTCCAGTTTAAAAGGTCAAAATTATTTTTACTATGCATACTAGCTTTTACCTGCAAAGATGATCATAAACTCCAATAGCTGTACAATACAGACAAAAAGATAAATCTCAACTTTTCAATAGAGCTTTTCTACACTGAAATGAAGTACAGCATTAATGAAGTTGGTCCTAAACAAACCAAGATGAAAAAAAAAAAAAAAAAAGCTGCTTTCTAGGAAAATTACATAGGACATCTACGCTGCACAAAATAATAAGCAACTACCTGCTACTTTATGGAGTTTCATATAGGTATTTCAGAACTTCCAAAATTTTGCACATTTCTGCAGAAAAAACAACCTCCTTTCACACAGAAAAAAACATTTATAGCATAAAGAAAATGAACACATTGACAAGTCTATAATATTAAATTTATTATTCCTCTAGTGATTGAGCTTAACCAAAGCTTAAAGCAAGTCAATTTTAAGAGAAGAAAGCACTGTACACTTATGGTTGAAGAAAGCTCCAAGTGTGATTGAAGGCTTTAAGTGTCCCAGTTCAGAGCTTTGCAGGGTCTTGCATTTCCCCAAAATTCCCCCATTTCACCACATACGGGTGCCTGAAGCATAAACTCCTCTTTACTTATCCCTCCTATATGAGTGCCACCATTTAGTCAGCTAAGGATCAACTGCTGAACACTCTGAAAATTACATAGTTTGCTTTATACACTTCCATCCCTCAGTAGGCCTTAAGGCCAGAGGCTCCTTTTCAGGCTGGAAGAATGAGGTGAAGACAGTGAGCACTAGGCAACAGGGGCATTGCGATCACCTCAGCATGGCAGGTCACAGTACCCACAGTCACCCAGAGGACAAGAAAAAAATCTAATAACTTCATGGCATCAAACACCATCAGCAGTATTTTTAGCAGTGCCAGGAGGAGGTATCTTCTTGAGAGAAAACAGTAGCACTATCACTGAATACAATCCTTGTGGGTCAGCCTGGTTTCGCTGCTGTGCATAAAATGAAATATAAGCAAGGATTCAGCCCAGGAAAATCCGCAGGTTTTTTGTATTTAAACACACTAATAAATTCACATTAAATACTGTACAAAATACCCAT